TGTTGATGGATGCAGCACTGTTGCTGTTGGAGGGAGGAGTCTTAGTTTTGGATGCACTCCGATCTCCCCCACTTTTGCTTGGGCCACCATTGCTGGGATAGTGCCCGTTGAATCCCCCTCGGACAGACGGCTGGGGCCTGTCGTTCTGAGTTCCCAAATGATAGTCGCCAAGGCATTCTGCAGCTTGAATGGCCTTGGGCAGGGTGTCTACCCGTTGTCGCTGTAGTTCCATACGGGCATGAGGTTTCAAACCTTCTATGAATGCGAAGAGTTTGTCTTTGTCCCCCATGTCGCGTATGTTTAGCATGAGTGCGGAGAATTCGCGCACGTACTCCCTCACTGATCTGGTGTGGCGGAGGTCCCGTAGCTTTCTCCTTGCGTTGTATTCCACATTTTCGGGAAAGAACTGCAGGCGTATGGCTACCTTCAATTCGTCCCATGTCTGAAGAGTATCTTCACCGGCCTTGATGGCTTCGTGTTTGACCCGCCACCAAAGTTTGGCATCGCCCTGAAGATACATGGCAGCAGTCGCTACCTTTTTGGATTCCTCCAAATGGCCCACGGCATCGAAGTATTGTTCGATGTCGAAGATGAAGTTTTCCACTTCTTTAGCATCCCGGGATCCGTCGTATGGCTTTGGCTCCGGTATCTTAAGCTTTTGTGGAATGGGGGTGAGGTTTGCTGCACCCCTGATGTGATGGTCGCCTTCTCGAAGTAGGCTCTGTAAGGCAGCATTGACAACGTTGAGCTTGTCAGTCAAGTCGTTTATGGTTTGCTGCATGGCAGTTAGTCTGTCTGCCTCATGTTGCTGATGGGCTAAATCGTCGGCACGCTCCTGTTGGAGGTCCTCAAATTTGCCATGAATATTGGCAGTTTCAATGGCTGCCGTTTGTCGGTCCTCGTCGGAGTCACGACTGATGTTTGCAATGTCATTTTCGGCCTGCCGCATTCGGCGGTCCAGGTCGTCCAACCTTTGCACTAGGTTGTTGCTTTGATCAGGCACCGTTTCTACGATGGGTCGTAATCGGTCAACCGTCTCTTCTAGGGATGCTAGACGCTCCCCATGATTCACCATGGTCAGAAATGGTGATGATGGCAAATGTTTTCCCTCGTCCGATGTCGAGCCTAGGCTCTGATACCAACTGTTACGCAACGCCTTCCTGATGATCTTTGGAAGGGCAACGTAAGGCTAAGCAACCGATGTCAGTGCGGTTGCTGTCCGCCAATGAGGTCCTCGCCGCACGCTAGACTAGATTGTCAGTGCCGTGCGGGAAAACCAATGTCGTGAGCAATTGCGGAAGCTTGAGAGAGAATTGGGTTTTGAATGCTGATGATGATTTTATTGATGACTGAAAATGATGATTACAATGATGTGGTGTCGAGGGGGAGAGACACCAGAAAATGCTGATTGAAATGTTTGATTGTTTGGTCCCCCTTAATAATGCTTAAAAAAAATAAACCAACATTACAAGACTAGTCCTAATAAAGCTGTAGAAGCACACTGAAATGAAAATGATGTAAACTAGCCTATGATTACAATGAAAAGGACTTAGATTATTACAAGGAAAAACTAAGTCCGATGGCAGCATCTTTGTCTTGCGGGTCTGCGCGCGCGTTGCTGTGGGCGCGCGCGACACTTGATGTGCTGGCCTGAGGCTGGGCACTGGTGCTTGGCATCAGGGTCTGTGCGCGAGGCGCTGCTGGAATGGGCCTGCAGCTGGGCGCTGGCGAGGCATCAGGATCTGCGCGCGCGGCATTGTCAGGGCGCGCGGCGCTGTTGTCATTGGCCAGCCCTTGGGCGCTGGCAAGAGGCATCGGTGGGGCGACAGAGGCACATGCGCGCTTGTCACTTGGCGCAGCCAAGACCACGGGGCCGACCATGGCGCTAGGCATTGTGAGGCTTGCTAGGCCGCCATGGGGCGCGGCCAAGGGGTCATGGGGCATGTCTGGAAAGCAGCCCGTGACAGTTAACATACAAAAATTCATAATTTATATCACAATGCACGAGTTTGAATTTTAGTGACTTCATGATCAGTATTATCTAGCTCTAGGTCTCTAAAAGTATAATTCGATGGTCAGGGGCGTAGCCATCCTTTATTAGTTCTGGGTTCAGTAGAACTCAGCGTCTATGAATTAAATCTTATATTTATATGAAATTATATAAATAATATATCTAAAACCTAGTAAATAAAAAGAACATTGGTACATAACTCATAAACTAAAAATCCCAATTCTGCCTCTGTGATAGTGGCAAAGGTGTCACCATTCAACGAATAGTAGTACATTGAACTTTAATGATCCCATATTCACTGATAGATTACTGTACAGATGAACTCCAACTTAACTATGTAAATGAAAGAAAATAAATTAAATCTGGTTTCAATATTTGTTGATTTAGACATATTGAAATATTTGACTTTAAAAGATCTAGTAATCTATTTTACTTTTGTTTAGATTACCCTCACTACTTCAATAATGAAGTTATTAGCTATGTGAAATGCTTAATGACAGATAAAAGAAATTTAAACAGTTAATTTTATGAGTAAAGTTACTCTTACAAATATCCTTTTTAAGTAGTATATAAAAAATTTAAAACATAAATATGGATTTTATCAGACAGGAAGGAATATTGAGGAAAGTGGAAAATGACCTGGACATCCGTCGTGGAAAGTGAGAAATGCACCAATTTGCAAAGGCGCATTTAAATTCATATTTTAAAAATTAAAAAATATAAATTAAGGAAAGTGAGAAATGGAAATGCAACTGGCGACTTTTCCTTGTATCTCTGATATTCAGATTACTGTTGGATAGCTTCATATATCTACAGAAACCAATTTAAACCCAGCTTCTACGAGAGGCGTTTGAAGCTCAGGTATTTCAAATTTTGGACTCTTATTAATTGCTACCAATCAGAGAAAAGAAAAGTTGCAGAGCAAGAAAGAGAGGGGGAAGTAAAAGCTACTAGCTAAGAGGCTAAGCACAACATTAATTAATACTGATGAAACCAGTCCCACGGTACTCTTTCCTCTTGTATATGGAATTCAGAAATTAGCATTTATTGAGAAACAATGAACTTCCCACCATCCTCAACTGCTCCCCTTTAATTCCCCTCAATTAAGTGTCCTCCCTTAAGTCAAACTCTTCTTCTTCTTCTTCTTCTTCTTTTACCTCTCTTTAATTCGAACCATGGTTTTTGATGAAACAATTATCAGATTCGTCTTCTCAATTTTATTGGTCTGGTCATCATCATCAGTTGGTGCTGCTAATTCAACTCAGTGCAATCAGTACAGTGGAGCTGCTTCTAATGGCCAGCGTGTTCCTTATCCATTTGGATTCTCAGAGGGTTGTACGATTCGCTTGAATTGTACTCAAAGTGGAGAAATTAGAATTGGAGAATATCTAATACAAAATGTGACTTCAGATACATTAATGGTCAACTTTCCAGTAAATTGCCGCCGTCCGATTGAGGATCTTAAGCAATTTAGCGGAACCAATTACGGTATGACTTGGAGAAACGGGCTGCTTCTACAGAATTGTACAGTCCCGAAGAGCGAGTGTACCATACCATCGGACCTTTTAAGCGCGCGTTTGAACATACCGTCGTGTGATTCGAAGAATGAGAATGTGAGTTGTTATTCAGAGGCGACTGCTGATTATTTGGATTACTGGAAACTGAAGAATATAGGGTGTGGACTTGTGGTCTCCTCCATATTGGTTGGTATGGATAATAATACAAAGAAGAGCTCTTCGATGTACTTAGAATTTCAGACGATTGAATTAGAGTGGGGATTGGAAGGAGATTGTGCATGTGATGAACATGCGAATTGTACAAATATTTTTCTTCCGGGGAACAGAAACGGCTTCCGGTGCCGGTGTAAAGATGGTTTCGTAGGTGATGGTTTCCGCGACGGTGATGGTTGCCGGAAAGGTTAGTTCGACTTTTCCGTTTTCCTTTTAAATTTTTCTTTTTTTCTTTTTCACTTTGTTTTTTGAACGTTAAAATAATTATCTGCAACATTATTTGCTCTCTATCATTTGGCGGATCAAAATTAAAATTTTATGGGTTCGAATTCAGAATTTCATTATAACCCATTTGATTTACTAAGTTTCAAATCAATTATTTGAAGTTATTTAGTGAATTTTGAACACATAAGGTATAAGTCAAATTTATTGGGTTCGATGAATTCATATCCACACACTTTAATGTTGAATTGTGAACAATCTAATTTAAATGTTAAGAGATATGACACATTTATTTACTAGATAGAGAGGATACATGTAGATGCCAATTCAAAATTTAAAGTGGATGGGTTCAATATTTAAATTCTTCGATCTTACCAATGAAATTATTGTCGCTTTTGAAATTACAAGATTAAAACTCAATACTCATTGAAATTTTAGTAATTTGTCATATAACATATTTGCACGGCGTATTAAAAAATACTAGGTTTAGTTGAATTCAATAATTGAGACTCTCTCCACCTTGACGTATAGGTTTGATCTTTCAAACCAATTACTTGGAAGTATATCATTAATGGATAATGCTGATAGTCGAATTCAAAATGTCTCCTTATTTTGGTATATATCAATCCAATAAAAAACAATGCTTATCAAATTACGGGTAAATTTCAAAGATAATTGCTAGATGGCCTAATTGTTGTTTGACTATGGGCAAGATGTGACGTGAGAGATGATGAGACTAGTGTAGTTTTTTATATTTGGTTTGACCAGTAGAGACACGCCAAATAAGAAAAGCTGTTGATTTCAATGGAGGTATAGTATGGGCATTTATTAGTGAATCATGAGTTTACAGGAATTGACTATGATTAAACAATGATTATTTTAGTGTGATTAAGTTTATTAGGAAATCCAAATATTGCACAAGTTGTGTTTAAAAGTAGTAGTGCATATGCGGCTGGTGTAGTCAATAAAGCCTTTTCTACATTTTGGTTTTGTTGAATTAATTTGCGTTCTAAAGCTGTCGAGTGTTGAATGTCGACTTCCACATGTGGGACTTGGTCTCACTTACTTTTCCCCCACCAGGTTCCTACCTTCAGCTGCCAGCATTTCCGTGTATTTGGCTTTTAGGTATTACTCACAACTCCGTCCCCTTTCCTCTCTTCTTCCTGCCATATGGATCCGGGGCAAATATATTACTCAATCCGTCGTATTTTATGCAAAAAATATTTGTTTCTATACGAAGCATAAAAAAGAAAGAAAATTTAAAACATGTGATCTCAAACATGTTATCATATTTTTATGACAATAAAATTTTATATCATTAAAGGTAAAAACCGAGATTATAAGGGCCATTAAAAAAGATTCATTTTTTCATTTCTTTTTACTTTTTTCTGGAATCAATGTTGGCCATGGAAATTTCAAATTTCACTTGAAATTGAATTCGGAATGTTTCGAAATTAGAAAAAACTTCAAAAGGTTATTTTTCAAAATTTTCACTTCAGACCACTCACAAAAATTCAAAATAGCTCTAAATTGTATTCATGTCCAAACACAACTCTAATTTTCAAATACCACTTTTAACTTGAAATTTTTCTTTTTTTTATTACTTTTTTCAGAAAATTACAATTCTTATGTCCAAACGCCCACTAAGATTAGATTGTTTCTAGAATATGTCTATTCTTTTCGGAACATACTAAAGAAGGGTCACATAAATGGGACGGAGGGAGTATTAGGACAATGAGGGCCATAGTTTTCATTGCCCTTGACTTAAAACCAAATAGTATAAAGTTAAGTAATATTTGCAAAAAGTGTCATGTTTATACTAAGTTTGTAACTTTTATACAGAGTAGTTGCAATATTTTACTCTTCCACGAATTTTAAATTACAGATTCACCTCTAACATAGATCGTAAAAATATATGGTCTTCCTTAATAAGATGATCACAGGGACTAATGAAGTATTTATGAGGCTGCCTATTCAAAGTGGTATTGTAACTTTGTCTAGTTCAAATCAAAATGACAAGTTTGTGCTCGATGAGCTTAAATTGTGTAATTTAGTGATATTGAGCCCTCTATCTCCACTCAAAGGAATTTGCTTGTCTTGAAGAGTTAATTAGTTCTCTTACCCAATTGCATACATAGCAGAAAGGGGATTTCTTGGGTCTTACATGACACGAACAAAGATCTGACTGAAAAAAGGAAATAAATAAGAGTTTAACTGATTTGTTTTGGCCTTGTCTGACTCCAAGATCGGTGAATGTGATTGCTGACAAGGTCAGAATTATTCAACTCCGAGATTGTGAATTGGATAATCCCCAGCGTCAACAGCTTCAATGATTCTGTTGTATTTTAAATTAATTACACGGAGGAGCACATGGTAACTGGATGTCTACAAGTTTGAACGGGTGAAAGTCAGAGGATCAAGAGGACCTGCATTGCTGAATAATTTCATATTTTATTGTTGAGTAAACATTATAGTAACAGGGACTTGAATCAATGCCAAGTCTAAAAGTAAACTTTTTTTTTTTTTTATCTTTTTTCTTTTTTTGGAGAGAATTGGCACTTGAATAATGGAGGAGGGATAGTAGAAGAAGGCAGGACCTTCGATAGATCAGGCACCAACATTGGCGCTTTTCCAAATTGGTTAATGAGTAATGAGATAATTTAATAGTTAAGACTCTAATACAAGTTTGCCATATTGTAATTGATAGAGTTTAGATAAAGAGCAGGCTAAGTGATCCCTTTCCTACCTGTGTGAGAGACAGTTCATTATTATGCCAGTCTAATTTAAGACAAGTTAGTACTTCGCCTGAATCAAGCATAATTTGAAGGGATGAAAGTTGAAACTGATTCATTTACCAGTTAATTCAATGTCCAGGAAATTGTGTGTTAAAAAGAAACATCTTGACTTGGAGATTTCGGAGAACTGGTTTCATTTGTTGATCATGTACTTGCTTCATAACTGGGAGGGCATACATTTTTCTAAAATACTTTTACCTATATATTCAATTAATTCTATGTCCAGAAAAGAAATAATTTTTGCCCCCAACCTCAACCCTGATATTTTGGTCATATATCCCTCTACCTCTTTCTCTATGTTATTTTCAGTATGTCATCCTTTAATAACTTCCTTTTTGTGTTTATGTCTCCATCAGTATCTAAATGCAATCCTTCAAGATACCTGTCTGGCCGATGTGGTGGAACTACAAGAATTGGTGTGCTCATTGGAGGTAACTTTTCCTAAAATTGGTACTAGTAAATAGCTACTTTGATTTTTCGCCCAATTCCCTGTGATGTATGGAACCATTACTTCTCCAGTCGTTTAATGCACTAGTGTTCAGTTTAGCATCTCCTGCTGAATCATCCCTGATCCTCCTGCTTCATTTTGGCGACACCGCTCAGTTACCAAATGTGCACTCTTTAGTTTTCTTTAAATGAGCTTGATAGCCGGCACATGTTGGTTTTATGACCTTATTATGTAAGAGATTTTGGTTTTGCAAAGTTGCAAAAGAGTTGCTGAACTTGCTGATCCGTAAACTTCCAAGCTTGCTACTTTTACAGCCTCTTGATTTAATTTTACTGGATTCAATGTAAATGGCGAGTTTGACCTCTTCCTGGTTTAATGAAATTGTCGATCACTTACAGGGATTATTGCTGGAGCTGGTTTAATGGCTGCTTTGGCTATTCTCTGCTACTGCATTCGAAGACGTTCTGCATCTCTGAAGAAAAGAATGAGCGCGAAGCGCCTTCTTTCTGAAGCTGCAGGTAGCTCCAGTGTTCCTATGTTCCAATACAAAGAAATTGAGAAAGCAACAAATAGTTTCTCTGAGAAACAGAGGCTGGGTATAGGTGCTTATGGCACAGTTTATGCTGGAAAGCTCCACAGTGATGAATGGGTTGCAATTAAGAAACTAAGACATCGAGATCCAGATGGCGTTGAACAAGTGATGAATGAGATTAAACTTTTGTCTTCTGTAAGCCATCCAAATCTAGTCCGCCTCTTAGGTTGTTGTATTGAAAATGGTGAACAGATTCTTGTTTATGAATTCATGCCCAATGGAACTCTAGCTCAGCATCTACAGAGAGAAAGGGGTTCAGGACTTCCATGGACAATACGTCTCACTATCGCCACAGAAACTGCTCAAGCGATAGCTCACCTTCACTCAGCAATGAATCCACCAATATACCACAGGGATATCAAATCTAGTAATATACTCTTAGATTACAACTTCAACTCAAAGGTAGCAGATTTTGGTCTTTCCAGATTTGGCATGACAGATGATTCTCATATCTCTACAGCACCACAAGGCACTCCAGGATATGTGGATCCTCAATACCATCAGAATTACCATCTTTCCGACAAGAGTGACGTGTACAGCTTTGGAGTGGTTCTTATAGAAATCATTACAGCACTGAAGGTGGTTGATTTCTCTAGACCACACAGTGAGATTAACTTGGCTGCACTTGCAATTGACAGAATTGGGAAAGGTCGTGTGGATGAGATAATCGATCCATTTCTTGAGCCACACAGGGATGCATGGACTCTATCATCAGTTCATAGAATTGCGGAGCTAGCTTTCAGATGCCTCGCATTTCATAGAGATATGAGGCCTTCAATGATAGAAGTGGCAGATGAACTAGAACAGATCAGGCTCAGCAGTTGGACATCATTGGAGGACAATATATGTATGACATCATCAGTGAATTCCTCTTGCTCATCTCCGCGTAGTATGAGCGAGACATCTTTTCGTAGTACAACAACTAAGAAAGGAGGAGTTGGGAGTAGGAGGTTGATTTTTCCGCAGAAGATAGGGAATGCACTGTCAACCATGGAGGAAATAAAGGATAGTTCCCCTGTTTCAGTGCAGGATCCTTGGTTAAGCGAAGAGAGTCCTCCTTCAACAAACAGATTACTGGGTAGTGCTGGTCGATGATGACTTGAAAAGAAAGTCTGCTTTAGGTAGAAAACTGAGGTACCTGTAATCTATTACAACCAGTTTACCACCTGTTCTTATCTTATTATATAGTGACTCGTACCAAAGAGTAATACAACAGTCCTCTTTGTCATTACATGCTCGAACTAGTACTAGCTTTTTTCTTGCATCTGCAGCTTCATACATAAAAGGAATGTGAAATAGTGATTGGACAAGTGCCAAAAACTACCAGAAAGATCAGTGACTACATCCGAATTCGTATTGCAGTGCCTGAATTTAAGTATTCCTTACATATCTGTGCATTCCTATCTAGCTACCTATTGCACAATTTGCTTCAGCAATCAGCATCAGAGAATGTATCAGAAGTTTCAAATACTCCTAACAAATTGGTACGGATGAGATTGCATTCTTTCCTTCCCATCCTTCATGGGAAAGGAGCTTTCTACAATAGAATCTCACAAGTGGGGTCTGGGATTAACGTGTACGCAAACCTGTCCCTATCTTGAGAAGGTAGAGAGCCTGTTTCCAGTAGACCTCGGCTCACGGAAAGGAACTTTCTAAAAAAGTTTGACGACTATCTCGATTTCCTCTTTGAATTCAATAAGAACACTCTTGCATCAATTGCATCATCTTCAAGAATTCTAGTCCACCGGATATGTTAAATAAGTCTACATATAATAAAATTATAAGTGACATTACAAATCGGAATATACGTATCAGAATGCCAGCCTTCGCATTTAGCAAAGCACAATCAAGTTTGCAAATAACAGTAACAAAAATGAAATATTACATGAAAAGCAAGAATCTTTTCAAGATTTTTGAGCTTCAGGTCCTAAAATACCATTAACAACAGTTGAGGCGACCAAAACTCCAACTAATTCAGCTCCAGCCACTGCTCCAGCTTGAGCCAACCCTCCAAAACTCACCGAGCTCTCAATCTTCTCCTCTGCAGCTTCTATCCCCTTCTCAGCCGTCACCAATCCTTTCTCCGCCGCTTCAATTCCCTTCTCTGCTGCTACAATTCCCTTATCTGCTGCCTCGAATCCTTCTTTCACTAACACTTCTGCTTCCTCCTCTACTTTCTTCAGCTTCTTTCTCAGTCCGAAGAGACCAATATCCTCTGCCTTTGACGGCATTTCCAGCGCTTTCAGTGCCGTTGTCGCCGTCAGCAAAGATATTAACTGCCTCCGACCGGGGAGAACCACCGGCGCCTGTTTAGTAGGAGTTGTGTTTGCATCTAGCACACAACGAATTGGGAATGTCCGTACGGAGATTGAGCTGGTGGTGAAAGCCATGGCTTTGCTCTTTCTCTGCAATCAAATTGAGGCTAGCAAAGCTCCCTCGATACCACAGCGAAGTGTGTGGTCGGATATTTTTGAACGGACAGAAGGACATATAAATAAATATAAATACTCGAACCTGAAAAGGCTTTTTTTTCTTTCCGAAATTTTTCCTTTTTCTCTTTTTTCTTTCTGTTTTTTTTTTCAATATAAATTTTCTAGAGTGATGTGTTAAAAATAGTGTGGACTCTTGGTATATTGGTACCATACTTAAATGATGCATTAAACGACAACTTCAATCCTTCCGAAAATCGACTCGTGAATAATGAAGAACGGAGTTAAAGATGAAGAAATTATAGTAGGATTGAAACTGTTTAATTAATTAAAGGTTAGACAACACTGAAAATATAATTCCTTACACCAATTTATGCATCAAACCAATAAATGGATGACCTGTTTTTATAAAATAAATTTAATTTAATAAATTTAAATTAACATATTTTTATCTCAATCTATTATTTAATCACGATAAACTAACATGGCATAATATAGTCGAAATAGCATATACTAACCAGTTTTTGATTTGGTAATTAAAAAATGGAAAAAGGCCAAAAACACGTCTATTGTTTGGTAAATAATTTACTTCTATGTTCCATTTATCTTGTGGTCCAAAAATACACTACGTTATCTTTCTGACTAAAAATACCCCTGCAACTAACAAAAATTTATGTAGTCCCTTTTTAATGTGTTGGCAGCACGTAATTGGGCCACGTGGCTCCCTTGTCCAGATCAAATTTAACTTGCTCCAGATTTAAACTTGTTCCGGATCAACCCACTAAGTTTTTCAATCTTAACCGTAGATCCTATCCTTCTCCTCCATTTCCATCACTTTTCTAAAATAAAAAATAAAAATCAACAGCTTAAGTTTTTCAAGTGGAGCACCAAATTCTTGTTCCAACCAAATTTGATATTAAGGTTCAACAATTAATTCCCAGCAATACCCAATCAATTTTGAGAACGAATTTCAGATTTGGAAGTTTTTTCAAGCGAAGCTCCAAGGGGTGCTCAATAGTGGATAGTTTTTCTCTAAGTTTTTCACTCAACATGATAATGAGTATTCTCAAATAGTCTCCAAAGCGATAGCAAACTAGGAGATTTTCGACGAAGAGCTTTTCGAAGACCTGTTTGAAGTGAAAATTTATTTTAATGTGAACATTTATCACTTGTTGGAATTAGCTGATTAGTGTGCTACGAGCCTAAATATATCTATGCAAATTGATTTAAGAATGAGAACCTTGAAGATGGAGTTGTAATTTTGTTAAAACTCTTTTGAAATCTTTGGTTCGAAATTGGATTTTTTTGAAATTGTAACTTATTTTGAATGTGTTTTATTAGATTTTGTTGGGGACACAAATAGGAGCTTAAATCTGAAATTTGAGGGAGTTTGAAATAGATTTGAGATGGATTTGGGTAATTTTCAAAGCAAATTTGAAGGTTAAAGAACAGGTTCAATCCAAAAATTTAAGGCAGATCCAAATCTGGGGCTAGTTTAAATCTGGAGCGGGTTAAATTTGATATGGACATGAGAGCCACGTGGCCCAATAACATACTGGCAACACATTAAAAAAGGGACCACAGAAAATTCCATTAGTCGCAGGGGAATTTTTAGTCCGAAAGATAACGTCGAGTATATTTTTGGACTAAAAGATGGGCGGAGCGTAGAAGCAAATCATTTACCAAACAATAGGAATATTTTTAGCCCTTTTCCGATTAAAAAATACTGCAAGTATTTGTAAATTAATGGAAAAATAGTCACTATTTAATGCAGAAATTAAAATAGGACAAATATACCCTTAGCTGATACACGAAAAATACAGCATAATGTGATGAATTATGAAACTCCAACACATTGTGCTGGAGTTTAAACTTCAAATACAATTTGTATGCGAAATTCAGCATATTATGCTGGAGTTCACATACAAGGTATCTAACATATTATGTAGGAATTCCATATGTAAAAAAGTTCGAACTCCAATATATTGTGCTGGAATTTTTTTGGGATTTTAATTAGGACATTTTTGTCTAAATTTTATTATCGCATAAAAAAGTAATTAAATTTCAATTAATTTAAAATAATGACTAATTTTCAATTAGCAATTGTAAATCAAGCTAATTTTAAATTTCTCCGTGTAATGTATGCACTAGGTCCGAAGAAATATTTTCATATATCTGTAACAAAATTGGGAGTTGTGTTATAAATATATTATATTATGGATATTCATTTAGTACTCCGTTGTAAATAAGCTTTCTGAAGAAGCCTATCCATATGGACTCCACCGTAAATATGTTTATCTATTTAGTGCTCTATTGGAAATAAGCCTCCTGAAGAAGCTTATCACTTCGGTACTCGGTTATGGATAAACATTATCCCCGGTAGAAGATTATCCATACCGGATACAATAAGTTTATCCTTTCGATACTCCGTTATGGATAAACATTATCCCCGAAAGAAGATTATCCATATCGGGTACAATAAACTTATCATTTCACTACTCCGTTATGAATAAACATTACTTTCAGCAGAAGATTATCCATATCTGGTATAATAGCAGCTTTAACAGCAGCTTCCTTTCTTCTATAAATAGAAGAAATTTCAGTTTATTATGTACATTAGTTTGAAGTTTAATAAAAATATCAATTTTCCTCTATACTTGTCTTCGATTTATTTACTTTACAGTCTTTATTTTATAACACGTTATCAGTACGAGACTCTATCATTTTGAACACTTACTTCGAAATTAATTTCCTAATTCTTATCAATTTTCAGATCTCCCTCTCCTAAACCCTTACATTTTTTCGACGGATCTATGTATCTATATGTAAAATCGATTTAGAAAGATTTATATATAGTAATTGATTGTAGCAACTCAGAATCCATTGACCCTTAAATCTTCAATTACTAGCTTGAGTTGTTGGCTGGTCCCATGTGATTTTTTCAATTTTGTCTTTTCTAAGGTCTTTATCGTGATATTGTTTTGGAATTGTGCATTTGGTACACATTTGACCTTGTTGTATATGTTGAAGAAGAAAGTAAAGGATAGAACTTAGACGGACAGGGAAAGAGGATGACAATTTCGGACCATAACAGAGGGTTAATTCTGGCAGTATCATCAAGTTTGTTTATTGGAACAAGTTTTATATTGAAGAAGAAAGGTCTTAAGCGTGATGCAGCAGCAGCTGACACTCGAGCAGTGTTCATCTCCGATTTAATTTAAGCGTGAGTGGCCAAACCTGTGTGAAGTAATTTGAGTCTTTTGTTTATATTTAATTTAATATTTTTATCATCGCTTGTTTGGTTATATGCTACGTATACGGTACATATTTTGGTATTTGTTTTTATCCTTATTATCTTAATAAAAAATTACAAAGTGAATAACATTGTTAGATCCACTTAAACTCCAGCAGAGTTTGCAAGAAATATACAACCACCATAAGTGGTTATATTTTGTATATCTCATTGTAACTTAATTTTGTTAACCACCAGAAGTTATATATGCATATGACCACCATAAATGATAATTTAGGCTTTCTATGGTTACAATTGAAGAAAAACTGCATAAATATTCTCTATATTAAATGCACGTCTCGATTTACTCCTGAAGTAGTAAATATTTTAAAAGAGGTTGAAGTATCACAATTTGATGTGATTAGTGCATGTTCAGATAATTATGTTCGATTTCCTAAAGGATGAGAACTTTTGATAATACTAATTCATTCTCTGAAATAAATGTGACAATATTAATAAATTTCTAAATATGAATGCGCTCTTGATGCAAATATATTACGATTCACCTCGAGAAGAGGTAATATGATTTAGAGAATATATACTCAATTTTTCATTTTTGCCCCTGAAGAAGTAACCCAATCGATTCCTCTTGAAGCAGAAAAATATTATAAAGCGGTGTAAATATCACAACTC